TTTTTTTGGTTTTCCGCCCGATATTCGGGGTTTCGCCCCAACTAATCCGGACCCGACCCGGGTCACACACCTAGAAATGGTGGGTGAATCTCCCAACAAAGGCTGCTGCGTATACAAGGACTCGAACTCAAGACCTTACTTAAACTGGAACAAACCGCTTTCCACTTGATCCAACTTCTCATTGGTATAAAAAAATTAATCTAAATTTATTAAAAATATATAAAAAAAATATTAAACTATATAACGATTGGACCTTTAATATATCGAGGGTCCTCCCCCATACAAAAATCCAAATTTTACGGTTCGGTGATAAAACAGCGCTCCATAACCGCGACACGGTAAGCCTGTAAAACATATAAGTAGGGCCCATTCGTATTGGTGCACGGAAAATGTCAGAACTTTGTCAGAACGACGTGTCCTTCCTTGGGTAGAAACTAGAAACAATTTGGTTGGTTGCGTGAGGGACAGGCGGACAGCAGCGCACGATGGAAACGGCGCCGTTTAAGTTTCTTGTGACATCGAATAGGAGATTGCAGTTAAAGGCTATAATTTGAAAGGCAATAGTTTTTTTGTGAATAGATTTTTTCTTATTTTGATGCCTAACGATGGAGCAATAATAGGAAAAATGAAAATTTAAGGGTAATGACTTGAAATAAGTCATATTATTAAATTTATTAATATATATAATATTACAAATTTTAAAATATAAAAAAATTAATTATTAAATAATATAATTTTTTTTTAATATTTTAAATAATACAACTTATACCATATAATTAATTTTTAATTTTAATTAAATTTCACTTTCATTTGTCATTATTCTTAACGATGCTGGTTGTAAATTAGTAAGCCAGAAATAAAATGCATGATCAAACCTGTGCAGTGGCTAGTAGTAAATGGAAAATAGAGGCAGGCAGGCAGGCTAACCTCCATATTAATTAATTCAGGTAAATAGACTGCATGTTGCACCAGCACATGGTCCACCTTATTGCAATCCTTCTGTATGTGGGAGAAGGAAACATGGTTTAGCCCAAATGCAATCCGTCTAATATTATGAAAGATATTTTTTATTTTTATATTATTGATTTATTAAAGACAGTTTTTTTTTTTAATTTTTTAATCCTGAACTAACGTTGTTACCGTCTACGATGCAGATCATAAAAAAAACATTTATTAATTTCTAATGTATGTAATTTTAAGAGAAAAATATATATTGATCTTGGTTATTAAAAAATTAAATATTAAAATTTTTAAATCATGTTGTTTTAATAAATTTTTATTAACAATAATTAAAGTTTCATTTAGTATAATTGTTTTTTTTTAATTTTCATAAATTTTAAAACTATTAAAAATTAAATTAAACGTTGACAACTAAAATAAAAATTATTTTAAT